AAATTATCGAAAGTTGAAGCCTTCCCCGAAGGACGGTCTTGGCGACTTACTACTTGAAAGCCCTCAACTTTCGATAATTTGTGATGACCGATATATTTTACTTTTGGCCTATCCGTTCTGAGAACTAATAAATAAATGACTGCGCGTCCCGGTTTTTGTTACAATAGATTCCTGAGATATAAGCAGAAAATATATTTTTTAACAACTTCAATACCCTGCATCTCTAAAACGGGACCGTTCCATACCTATGTTTATAAGGCAAATAACTATTATTTTAAAGAGATCTATCTGTCCCTTAAGTTTCCTGCATAAAATTCGGGCCACCCTGTATTACATATATACAGTATATTCATGTTCTTATACGATATAAAATGTTGTTGCGTAATTTCCTTAACTTACCCCATAAAATAAAAATTCCAATTAGGAATAAACCTCGCGATAAACTTTTAAATCGCATAAGAACATGAACATGCTGATTATAGATAGTACCTACGTGTCTATTTACCATACTTTTGCTGATGACACGTCTATAGAGCAGCCATATAGCCCTTTTGTGGGTTTGGAGTTTACACAACATTATGGGTTTTATAAACTCCTTGGTTTATTTTTTTCTTTTTAGTGCATTTTAATAAAAGCTTGTTTTTAAAATATTTTTTTTACTTTTCGTTTATTTTATAGTATATGTAAACTGAAAGTGGTGCTGTTTAATGTTTGATTTCAAGAACTAATAAAGTGTCATTTTCAACTGAAAATTAATTGTGGAAACGAATTATTATTATTATTATTATTTAGTAAATATAAATGAAATTATACATGATCTAAAAGGGTAATTCTAGTAGGGTGATGGATGTTATCTATCATAAATTTGAAAACTGCTAGGAAAATTTAACTAAAAAAGTCAAATGTTTTCGAGATATTTGAAAATTAATAAATATTTGCACATTAAAAAAATGTCAATAGTTGAAATTTGTTTAATAGACATTTCCATACAGCATATTTCTTTAAAATTTTATTCGTTTAATTATTTTCTACATTTCTAATTACATATGGGTGGTTTAAGGCGTTCTTAGTCTTTCAATTGTTGTTCTAGAAGGAAATTAGGCACCTTCTCAGCGAGTATGCTAGGACGGCTGAACATTAACTTGAGTTAATGTGAGAGATTGATACCAGTCGGCATTTGTCCATTTCGTTAATTAATGAGGTTTTTCAGGCTTAAACAAAGGTAGTTAGGACTAACCAATGTAAGTGGTCCCTGAGCACAAATGCGACCTATCGAATAATATGTCGTCTCTCTTCAACCCAAAAAGTATATTTTATTAATAACATTATTAAAAGCTTCTAACATAATATCAGTTGCATTAACTATTACAGATGGATTAATAAATTTTGGTCAATTATTCCAAAATAAGTTAATTAAATAAGTTTTAATTCCTACTGATTAGGGTATTAGAGAATCTAGTACCTTTTTTATTTAAAATTTAAACTCAAATTTTCCGGCACATTTTTGAAGAATCTTTAAATATTTTTTTATGAAAATATTCTTTTCTCTAGAGTAAGTTGTACTCCTTTCGAATAGTATACAGGATGTGGCGTATATAATCTATACAAATTAAACTACAGCTTCCTGATGATATTTGTAATAGAAAAGATCTACCTTCGCGTTTTTTTTGTAAATTAATGTTCATTTATTCAACGAAAATGAAGACCGACCCTGTGTTATTTATTAAAAACTTTGGAAATGTTTTTATGCGACCCGAGATGCAACCTTATAATTTAAGTCGGTATAATCTAATACTAGTAATACTAAAAGAAGGTTAGGTTACATTGTCAAAAAATTTGTGCAGTCAACAGATTTTGTATTTGTATTGAATTCATTATTCACTTAATTATTAAATATTAAGCATCGTGCATCGACCCATCAGTGTTAAAAACGAAAGATTCCAGACAAAAGTTTTTATTTTGCAATTCCACTATAGTGACAGCGTAATTTTTATAAAGAAGTAAAAAATAAGAATAATGTGCTAATTACATTAAAAACGAGATTCTTGTTTCTTACTTTGCTTAATTTTTTAGTTTTACAATAAACCGAGAAAACAATGCATTTACTATTTCCGAACGTGTCAATATGGTGTTTATAGTATTATGGCGGCTGCGCATACGTTGTTTTTGGTAGTTATTGTTTTAATATTAATCAATGTCAATTGTAAATTTTTTTTGTACAATATTCTTAAATATATGTTAATATTGGAAACACCGATTGTATGATTTCTAATCCAGTACTTAACAAGTTGTGAGGTGCACAAGGACATCACAGTGGCGACGAGGAAAATTTGGAACGTTTAAAAATAGTACGTTTTTATTTCTACAGTAGTTGGAAAAACGATTAAACATGCCAAAAGGTGGAGATCGCAACACGAAGACCGCAAGCGCGAGCAGCAATGCCGGTGAAGGTTTGAAAATGACAGTAGGAAGTCTTCGAGAATTTGATCCAAATGTAAACAAATGGAGTGTTTACAGGAAGCAAGTGTCACAATTTTTCTTAATAAACAATATAAGTGATTCAAGATTGAAAAGAGCATTCTTATTGAATAGTCTCAGTGAAAACGCTTATAGTATTATTTTA